TGAATAGCTGGCTAGAGACCTGAAACTGGATAGTAGTGGACCATCCCTAGTTGTTAAGGTAGCTAATGGGGAAAAAGTACAGTCCAACAGCTTAACTAAGCCTGTAGTATGGAAGATGCAAGGCTATGAATTCCAGCACCAGTTTAACACACTAAAGTTAGGGGGGTGTGATATGGTGCTGGGAGTAGATTGGCTTGCTAGATTCAGTCCCATGGAATTTGATTTCAAGGGACTAAGTGTGAAGTTCAGGAAAGGGAAACAGCAGGTGGAACTGAAGGGGGAGAGGGATCAGGTGTAGCTAAGGTTGATCAAAGGAAGCAGACTGCACAAATGGGCTAGGAAACAAGCCTATGGAATCATGGCACAACTAAGAGCAGTCAAAGAGAAGGTACAAGATAGTGTTAACATACCCCCAGAGATAGAGAAGGTATTACAGGATTTTGAGGAAGTATTCATGGAACCCCAGGGGCTGCCCCCTGAGAGAAGCCATGATCACTCCATTACCCTTAAGGAGGGGGCCAAACCTTTCCGGATCAGGTTGTACAGATGTCCCTATATTCAGAAGACTAAAGTTGAGAGACTGGTGCAGGAAATGCTAGGAACTGGTATCATTCAGCTCAGTAACAGTCCCTATGCATCCCCTGTACTGCTGGTAAAAAAGAAGGATGACACTTGGAGATTTTGTGTTGATTATACGCAATTGAACAAGTTGACAGTCAAGAACAGATACCCAATACCCCTTATTGATGAACTTTTGGATGAATTGACTGGGTCCAAATACTTTACCAAGATAGATTTAAGGTCAGGATACTTCCAGATCAGAGTAAAGGCAGAAGATATTCACAAAACTGCATTTAGAACTCATCAAGGGCTCTATGAGTTCAAGGTGATGCAATTTGGGCTCACCAATGCCCCTGCTACCTTCCAGGGGTTGATGAACCATGTATTCCAGAAGCAACTAAGGAAGTTTGTGCTGGTATTCTTCGATGACATCCTGATATACAGCTCAAGCTTACAGGAGCATCTGGAGCATGTCACAGAGGTTCTGAGTATCCTCAGAGAACACCAATTGTATGCCAAAAGGAGCAAATGTGCCTTTGCTCAGACACAGGTGGAGTACCTGGGACACATCATATCAGCTGAAGGAGTGAAAGCTGATCCTAAGAAGATTGAGGGTATGATGAAGTGGCCTAGACCAGAAAATGTAAAACAGTTGAGGGGATTCCTAGGCTTAACTGGGTATTACAGGAGATTTGTTAAGGGCTATGGCAGTATAGCTAGGCCATTGATTGCACTACTGAAGAAGGACATCTTCCAATAGGGAACAGAAGCTGAGGAGGCGTTTCAGAAGCTAAAAGGAGCCATGTGTGACACACCTGTGCTGGCCCTACCTGACTTCAATCTACCCTTTGTGATTGAAACTGATGCTTGTTACAATGGAATAGGGGCAGTACTAATGCAGAACAGGAGACCATTAGCCTACATCAGTCAGGGCTTGGGGCCTAAGAACATGGGGCTATCTATCTATGAGAAGGAGCTATTGGCACTTGTTACAGCAGTCTCCAAATGGAGGCACTACCTAGAGGGCCAGCACTTCATCATCAACACTGATCATCAGAGCTTAAAGTACCTTTTGGAACAAAGGATCACCACCCCCTGCAGCAGAAATGGTTGACCAAGCTCATGGGGATGAGTTATGAGATCCACTACAAGAAAGGCAAGGAGAACGTAGTGGCAGACGGACTCTCCAGGAGAGGGAATCCAGCCTTGGAATGCACTGCAATAACTACCATAGTTTCAGAATGGATCAAAGAGGTGATTAGTAGCTACCAAGGAGATGACTGGGCACAGAATAGCATTAGAGAAATTTTACTGAAACCAGACTTGATTTCCAACCTTAGCTATCAGAATGGTATACTGAAATTTAAGGGGAGGGTAGCCGTGGGATCTGGGGGAGAGATAAGGAAAAAGCTGATCAGCACCATACATGACTCCTAATTGGGAGGGCATTCAGGTATCCAGGCAAGTTTCATGAGAGCCAAACAGTTGTTTTACTGGCCAGGCATGCACAGAGACATTAAGGCAGCAATCTTGGAATGTGATGTCTGTAGGAAGTGCAAGGATGAACATGTGTCCTATCCAGGGCTCCTACAACCCCTGCCAATTCCACAGTCCCCCTGGAGCCATATCACCATGGACTTCATTGAGGGATTGCCTAACTCTGAAGGGAGAGACACCATCATGGTAGTGGTGGATAGGTACACAAAGTATGCCCATTTTCTGAGCACCTCACACCCTTATGATGCCCCAAAGATTGCCAGGATTTTCCTAGATGGAGTGGTCAAGCTACATGGAATACCCCAGAGCATTCTGTCAGACAGGGACAGGGTCTTCACCAGTCAATTCTGGGGTGAAATGTTTACACTGCTGGGAGCTACACTGGACCACAGTACAGCCTACCATCTACAATCTGATGGCCAAACTGAGAGGGTCAATCAGGTACTGGAAATGTACCTCAGATGCTTTTCACATTTAGAACCAAAGAAATGGAATCATTGGTTGACCATGGCAGAATGGTGGTACAACACCAGCTACCACACAGCCATCCAAATGACCCCCTTTGAAGCTCTATATGGACAGGCACCTCCCCAATTGGGTATGGGGCCATATACTAAGGCTAAGGTAGCTGTTGTTGGGGACTACTTGAAGGAGAGGCACAAAGCTGACATCATACTGAAACAGAACCTGAAGCAGGCTCAGGAGAGGATGAAAAAATATGCTGACAAAAGAAGGAGTGAAAGAAGGTTTGATATTGGGAACTGGGTATACCTGAGATTACAACCTTACAGGCAAGGTTCAGTAGCTTGGAGAAGCAACACTAAGTTATCAGCACGTTACTATGGCCCTTATGAAGTGATAGGGAAGGTTGGGGAGGTTGCATATAGGCTGAAATTGCCCACAGATTCCAAGATACACCCTGAATTCCATGTCTCTCTACTGAAGAAGAAGGTTGGGGACCAGACCACACCTGTCTTGCAGTTACCAGAAGTGGATGGGAGGGGGCACTTAAGGGTCGAACCAGTTGCAGTGCTGGACCGAAGAACAGTCAAGAGAAAGAATGCAGCTGCAGTGCAATGGCTGATACATTGGTGGGGAACGGATCCAGCAGAAGCAACATGGGAATTTGCAGAAGAAATTAGGAAGCAGTTCCCTCAATTCCAGTCTTGAGGACAAGATTTTTAAAGGGGGAAGCTTTGTCATGGAGTGAGAAGAAAAAAAAACGGGAGGCGTGTTCCAGATTTCAAGGAAGGCGTGATCCAGCTTGAAGAAGGAAGAAGGCGTGTTCCAAATTGCATTGAAGGCGCGATCGATCAACTTGAGGAAAGAGAAGGCGTGACTTGAAAAACCACGCCTTCTACCTGGCAAAACAGAATTATGCTTCTGTTATGAGCAAGTGGAGCTGATGGTTCTAGAATTCCACGTGACCTCACCTTATTGGCTTGTTTAGAAGTTAGTTAGTCCGGAAATGGCCATAAAAGGCTGAAAGAATCCTAGAGATAGCTAAGCTTTTGTCATATTTTTCCAATTGGTTGTAAAGGGAATTTGGCTCTGCCAACTCCCTCCTCTCTTTTCCCTTTATTTCCTTCAATCTTTCCCCTTCATTCTAAATCCGTTGATTCAGATTCTGTAATTGACATTTACCAATTATTAATGAGAAGTTGAAAGTTCAAATATTCATCTCCATTTCCTGTTCCATTCAATTTGTTAAGAGATAGTTCACTTCTGCTGCAAGTAATCTGTCACTTTTGCTGCAATTTTCGATTCAATGCCATAACACCATTGTATGATGCTCTTAGTCCACACGCAGAGAAGACTTGAATCCAGTCTTAAGTCTCCAAAGATCATCTTTTGGTGATCTTGGATTTGTTGTGTGTGGTCTTGTCGGCAGGTTTGCCATCGATGCTATGATTGTTCTTTCTCAAGCTGGTTTTTGCACAAGTTACTTGATATTTATAGCCAATGCTTTAGCTTATATATTCAATTACGCTCCCGCTAACCCTAACCCTAAGATCTTGGGAATTTTTGTGCCCAAGTCTGTGTACATATGGAGTTGTTTTCCGTTCCAACTGGGGTTGAACTCAAATCCCACGCTAACCCATTTGGCCCTCTTGAGCATATTTGCTGACTTAGTTGATATCGATGCCATGGGGTGGTGATGGTCGAAGATGTTATGATTTTTCTTAGAAACAGGCCTGCCGTGGAAGCTTTCGGCAGATTCACTGTGTTTTTTTATGGGCTTAGGTGGCGGTTTATACTTTTGAAGGGATCGAAATGGTATTGCCGTTAGAGTCAATGACGAAGGAGAAACAACAATTTGGGATAATCCTAGGCTGGGCAATGGCTTTCATCTCCTTAATTTATGGAGGATTTGGAATTTTGGGGTATTTTGTTTTCGACGAAGAGACCAAAGATATATAATCACGACCAATTTTGGGCAGGGACTATCGAGCAGCCTTGTTCAGTTGGGTTTGTGCACTAACCTATTCTTTACTTTCCCAGTAATGATGAACCCTGTTTATGAGGTGGCGGAGAGGAGATTCTGTGAAGCCAAATTGAACAAAGGGGCCAAATTTGTTATTAGTAGCATAAAGGCATTTCGCCACAGATATGTAATAGAGAAAAAAAACCTAGTGGACATGTAATACCAAAATAGATTGGTTGTTGAAACACGGGTCTAGGACCTGTCTTTTGGTGATGCAAATTGGAAACAAAAAGTTTATGATGTGTGTTTGTTAATAATAATATAAGCAAGCAAATGTTCATTTGTGCCATATAATAATAGTCCTACAAAAGCTGCATTACATTGGTTGGTATTACACAAGCAACGTCAAATTAAATCTCCCACAACGCAATGCAACGCACACTTGGAAACTAATAATTGCACTTGACATTTCAAGACTCGAGCATCCCAAAGAAAAAATAAATAATTAAAAACATTCCATCAAAGAGCATGAAAAATTTTATAGTAGTAAAATCTAACATTCCACTCCATCCACCGTAACCAAATTGCCGCGGAAATGGTACTATTGGCAGTACTGTACTTAATTTCAGCCAATAGTACTCTCTCAGCCACCAAATTCTTAAATGCACCGAAAAAAAATAGTCACAGTAGTTGAAGAAACACAAGGAAAGAGGGAGAGAAAGCGGAAGAAAAAAAAAAGGTAACAATGAAGCAGCAACAGAACGGCACAAAACTAAGACAGCAGCAGCAAAAAAGAACCAAAAATAAAAAGAAAAAAAATCTAATCAAACTCCTTCTGGACTTTAATCCCCATGGAATTAGCAGTTCCAATGATAGACTTACAAATGGACTCCAGAGGCATATACTGACAATAGGGGTCCTGCTGCTTCACCTTGGCAATTTCGTACACGTGCTTCAAGGTCAAGGAGGAAGCCGTCACATGACCGGGGCGCCCGCTCCCCTTCTCCAACCCCGCCGCCTTCTTTAGGTACCACGTAACCGAAGGCGACCTAACAGTGAACTCGAAGGTGTTGTCCTTGAAGGCAGTGATGACGACGGCCATGGGGGTGTCAGGCTTGTACTTTTGCGTCCTGGCATTGAAATCCTTGCAGAAGGCCATCAGATTGAGCCTGTATTGACCCAGCGCAGGCCCCACTGGAGGTGCCGGCCTAGCTCCCCCGGCTGGAACTGTTAAGCGGATCGTCGCTGCCACTGGCCGACGGGTCAGGATTTCCTTCAACGTTGACATTTTTTATGGGGAATTTCCAGATGCACCAGTACCAGTCTTTGGAAACAAGAATTTATAAAGTAAATTAGGTCCCTGGTTTCATAAAATACATACAGCTTTTCACATTCTACAAGATCAACATATAGCTATATTCCAAGAAGACATACTATCTGACAAGTTTGTCTATTTATCAACTATTCACATAAATATGGAAGTACAACTACTGTAATCCAAGACAACAAGACCAAAATCTAACTTGATTGAGGAGTTATAGATTTCTTCCCATCCCAAGATACAAATGACTCCACAATGTTACGACACATCACACAAATAAGTTCCAATATACCATATTGATAATAAAGTATAAAAGCGTATATGTCACACTTTAGCTCAAAACTGTAGCAAAGAAAAAATTTAATGTAACATTTGGAGATGAATAATCATGGACCATAAAGTCAGATTAGACCAAGCATTGAGGCACTTCATAACCAGTTTATATGCAATTCAAAGAGACAGACAAGTTATATATGAAACATGCTAGGATGTAACCAGATAGAAAAGCCAAAAGAAAAATTGTAATATCCAGAATCTTGTGCAGCCCACTTTCTCCTTGCAGGTGATTCCGCCAATTTTCTCCCAAAATTCTAAAATGAAATTGAGTAATAAAAAAGGATAAAAAAAATAGGTCACTCACAAATTCTGCCAGCCAATGAATTCTTACAATTACTGCTTGAGACAATGGCAACACTATCAAAATTATAATACATCAGTACTTTGGCCCATACCAGGTGATGCAGAGGATAGGGAAGGTAGCCTACAGACTAAAATTGGCAGAAGGATCCAAGGTACTCCCTGTGTTCCATGTATCCTTGCTGAAGAGGAAAGTAGGACAGCAGATAGTCCCAGTGCTGCAACTGCCAAACACAGATGAGAAAGGGCACTTCCGAGTAGAGCCAGTAGCTGTCTTAGATCAAAGGATTGTTAAGGAAAGAATGCTACAGCTGTTCAATGGCTCATTCAATGCTAGGGAACTTCTCCAGCTGAAGCTACATGGGAGGATGCAGAAGGAATTGAAAGGGAGTTTCCTGTTTTTCAATCTTGAGGACGAGATTGATTGAAGGGGGAGCAACTGTCATGGAGCAGGGACTTAAGCCGAAGAAATGAGCTGAAGGTGTGGTTTCCAATAAAGTAGCTGTGAAAGGAAAAGAAGAAGTCACGGTAGAAGGCGTGGGAGCAGGATCACGCCTTCTCTGGAAATCAGCACAACCAATGTGAAGAAGGAGGCTATTGTCGTTTTCCTAAGAGATGGCCATGTGTCTTCATGTCATTGCCTAGTGATTATATAGGAGATTTGCTTTGTAATAGGACAACAAAAGAATATTTTGTATCTGGAAGATTTGGGATCATTACTCCCAATTCTCTTTCCCCTTTCCCAAGTTTCTTTCCTTCTTTTTCACCTTCTTCCTATTTCCATCAACCTCTGAATCTCCATTATCACATATATCAATATAAACCTTATCGAGCTTGGTTCCTGATATCAAATTACCGTTCCATTCATTTTGCCATTTTAGTTTAGGTTTAAGCTTCCTGTTCGCTTAGCTCAGCTGGATACCATCACAGTTCCACGTACAAACATGCCATACACACCCTAAACCCTCACAAAAATTGCAGAAAATAGCAGAAATGAAAAAGAAAAAATCCAGAAAAAAAATCGCTTAAGTTCAATTCCCTCGGTCCTCTTGGTTTTCTGGGGTCACTCACAGGCTACGATTAGCGTTGGACTAATAGGAACTCCTTGCCATGTGCGCAGATTCAGGAGATTCATGCCCTTAGTTTAAATTTTCATTTGGGCTTCGTTTGAGCATTTTGTCAAATATGTGATAGATACCACAGATTTCATTATCCATCTGCATTATAGTTATCTAAATTTCTCAGAAACACAAGGGATTTCAGTCCAATTAACACACAAAGCATGCATATTCACAAAATCGCGGATAATCAACAGAAAAATTGCAAAGGACAAATTCAAGAAAAATGTGTTTAAGAGCTTCAAGAATCTGAGCTTAAAGAAAAACTGAAATTAAAGGAAAATTTGAGCTTACAGTGCTCTTTCGGTGATGATTTGCAGGTGGTGGTGGAAAGTTCCGGTGGCGGCGGCGGCGGCAACAGCAACTCCCTGCTGATTCCTTTCTTTCCTTCTGCTCTTTTCTGCCTTTCGTTTTTTCTTTTTCCTTTCTTGTTTTCTGTGTTTTTAATGGGGCTTGGATTCCTAATTAAGGTATTGGAAAGATTCTGACGATAATTTTAGGAGCTCAAAGGCAATAATGATTTGAAGGTGATCACTGAGAGGCGGCTTGCTCGATAGCTAACGAACCTAGTATTTTTGATCTCAAATTCGACTTTAAAATAAAAAATACTCGACTTGAACTCGACTTGAGTTCGACTTTGTTAACTCGAATTCGACTTGAGCTCAATATTGACTGAATTTGAGTCGTACTCAGACTTGAGCCGCTTGCTATCAGTTAGCGAGCGGTTCGATTAGGTTGTTTCCCTAGGTCCGACCATGAATATTGGCAGATGTAGCACGAGTTAGTATGGGAGTGCGTATTAAGAGATAATGGATAAGTGTAAGGAAACTATTTGAAACGTCTTTGGAAAAAATAAAGTGAAAATTATAATTCTATTAATAAAAGGGCAAAAAATCTCAACGACCATTAAATTATTGGTCTGATTATGTTTTGGCCATCAAACTATATTTCGTCAGTAATTGCCCATTAAACAACTTAGTCAGTAAATCTGTGACCGTTTAGTTGATAATTGCTCTTAATTTGTGAAATTAGCTATACATGTGGCAAAGCACGGGGCAATTTTATCCAACAACTATACGACCCTATTTCACAGATTAACTGCTAATTTTACAGATTAAGAGCAATTATTGATTAAATGGTCACGAGTTTACTGATTAAGTTGTTTAGTGGCCAATTACTGACGAAAAATAGTTTGATAGCCAAAATATGATCTGACCAATAGTTTAGTGGCCACTGAGATTTTTTACCCTTAATAAAAATGCTAACTTACCCATCACATTTTCTATTAATAAAAATATTAACTTACCCTCAATCTTTTCTCTTACCCTAGCTTGCAAGAAATGGGCTTGGGTGTTGAGCTTTACTTTATCAGCATATGTCTATTTTTAAATTGGGCTTAATTATTCCTTTGATTTTCTTATTTCTTGCTTTTTCCTAAATTTTTTGTTCTCTTTTTCTGTTTTTTGAAAAGCCTAAAAATATAAGAAAAAGAATGTATAAAAATAAATGACTAATAAATAAATAGAAACCTCAAGGAAATTTTGAAAATTAACAAAGATTTGGTGTCTATGAAGTGAAGGGAAGATTGGAGCTGCAAATGATTCAAATTGTTTAATCTTAACTCGAGCTCAGTCAATATCTAACTCTATTTGAGCATAGAGAAACTTAGCTAGTTAGCTTGCAAGGTTGCTCGAATATACATACATACATATACATATATACACACACACACACATAAATTTACATATATATATATATATATATATATATGTCTATTATTTTTATTTTAATAGTTAAATTACATATATATCTCTAATACTTTTATTATTTATTAAGAAAAATTACTATTTTATTTATTTTCTTAAAAATAAAATAATAATTTAAAAATTTTTAAATCTCACATAGGCTCGAGTTTGAGTTCACTTAGGTTCAAATTTAAGGTCAAACTTGAACTTGAATTTTACGTTGAAAACTCGTTGAGTTTGAGATTGAGATCGAGTTTGGTAGAATTAAATTGAGACTCAACTCATTTCCAACCCTACAATTTTAAAGGATTTCTCTGCTAGCATGTTATGAACTTCTCTTTTCACATGAAAGAAATGTAGTTATAGTGCCCAATGTTTGGCTCATGTGCCAAACACGTCCAAAATGTTTTGATCAAAATAAATTTAGTCTCCAAAAATTATAGTTTTGCAAATTTAGGACATTGATGTAACATCACAAGAACTAATTGTCAAAATCAAAATAGCATTAGTCAAAAAAAATTTCCTTTGCATTTTTTGGTCCATTAAATTTAGAGTTTCAATCAATATGTTCCTTAAGTTATGAGGATTCTAATTAGGAAAAATCAATTATCAGAGAGAGCAGACTGATCCAATTCAACCTTCAATGAGCAAATTGTGGAATTGATATTTTTGAGACCCCCGGGGGGGGGGGGGGGTGATCGACTTGGAATCAACCCTTTGCAATATCATGACTTGATTATTTGTTTATAGGAAAAGGAGGGTGATTTGCCCAAACTCGACTCCACAATTGAAAAATTACTCTGTATCTCCTAGTTCCAGATTTGGATTAATCATTGTCGCTTTTTCTTTGGAAAATGAATATAGTTGCAATTGAAGAAGTGAAATAAAAATGACTTACTAGCTCCCTTAATGTGTATCCTTCAGCAACTGCGGCTCAATGAAATGGAGACACAATTCAATCTGCTATACATCAAATATCCCCCGTTACTTCCCTGTACTAGCTTCAGAGCATCTATTTGCTGGCATTCATCAAGTTCCTACCAGAAATACTTTAAACAAGATTATAGATTAATCTGCTCAAATCTCCATAATTCTTGCTTAAAAACACAAATTTCATACACTAATACCCTTGTGAGAAAGAAAACCCATAATACACGTGTAACAGAACTGCTTCCTTTTTGATAGACTCTTCAGCAATTCTTTGAATTTGTCAGCATTATACGACACTCTCAGCAATCCTTGCTGATTATGCCGAAAATCTCGCACATAATCATCAAGTAAAGAAACAAGACAAGGGTGATTAATGAGCTTTACAGGTATGCAAAGCCTCTCCATGTCTTCATTGTCAGTTCCCACTAGCACAGGAACATAACCTTTGCGAGGAGAGCCTCTCGCCTCTCCATCATTGTAGCTGGCTCTCCATCTCATCTTCTTTTCTGTCATGCTTCTTACTTAAATGCTTAAGCTAGCATTAGTCTTCCTTTTTATAGCAAAACCTCTGCAAATGGTTCTGCTAATGCTATAGCTCAAATTTTGTTTCGTAGTTGTTCTTGTATTAAATGTTCAAATTTGCTCTTAAGCCAAAATGCAAGTTGGACTTGACTAGGTACTTCTTGTCATTTTAATCAAAATTACTGTGGATATAAAATTTGGACTCTGGCAACATCATTTGCCAAGTAAAAGTTGTAATATTCATGACTTGTATAGCTTAAAGTATGTATATTTCATAGACCTTGGTCGTAGAATTGAAAAATTAGCAAGTGTCACTTCACAAGAGCAATCATATCCAACTATCTACCATCCGGATTTAGCCATCAGTATAAATTTTGAAAACGTATGGCCTAGATTATGATAAATAATTGACGTGACTGACATGTACAATTTTATGTGAACGATAGTTGATTATAACACGACTATTATAAAATTGTACAAATGATTTGTGATGAAATGTAATCTGTTCGAAAAAGTATTAAATCATTCATAGACAACTACTTAGACCCCTCCATTTTTAAAATCAAACCAACTATTTCTCTGTTGACTGTTTTTTTAAAACTTTCCTTTTTTTTTTTATTTGGTCGAATACACGAATTTCTTTACTTCGGTTATGCATGAACAACCTTAATATAAGGTATATCACTATTTGGTAGTTTTTTTTTCAACAAGTCGAAATTACACCAGAACAATTAGATTAGAAACGCTTAGAGGTAACTGAAAGCGTTGGTGCAAAGCACAATTTAAGGTGCAGCTCACAAACCAACGCCATCCAACCAATTGGTATATCACTTTTTGGTAGTTAAATATATCTAAAACGTGGCATTTAAATAATTAGGAATTTCACACAGCATTTAAACTCACAGAGGACATCTGAGGACAAAGTCCTCGACCATGAAGTCATGCCTCACGAGATTTGTGTTGACTCTTTCAATATTAATTAATCAGTGCTTGACCTTTCTTTCTTGTGATTTTCAGCCTTTAAATATGACATCGTAATAATCAATCAATTACGAAGTCCAACACCCTGTATAATTACTCGACTGATTTGGAATACATTTTCTTCATTTTTCTTGTAGATATACATTCCACTGCCTATTTATTAAGAACAAAAAGTAAGTGCAACAGGAGAAATAGTGTCTTTTCATCGTGTGAAGGATAACAAAATTTTGACGCCTACAAGAGTAACCTATTTTACTTAACAAATATTGTTTGAACTAGAGGTGGCAATACGGATAAATGGTTTATAATTGGTTTTGACTTAATGGATGGTAGATGAAATTTATCTAATCCATTTAGATTTCTTTAATAAATGGATCTAAATGGATGGATCTAAATGAATTCAATAAAAATCAATTATCCATTTAAATATTATTTACTCATTGGAGCAATCAGTATCTCTGACTGTGAAACGATATATATATACATGGTAAAACACAAAACAGCCTTCTAAACATGGAGGAAAATAGAAACAAATAAAAATAGGTAAAGAGCTAATTTAGGTTGTTCCGATGCTTAGGTAACCTTCTTTATAGTAAAGAATAAGAAAACAAAAATCAACATATCTGTGCATTTTTAGGTCCTTTTGTTATCTCGGGACCAGAAAGCTCCATGGCATAAGCATCGTAGTCTTCATCCATTGTTATCATCTCAAACATGGCTGACTGGTCATAGACATTGTCATCATGTCCAGGGACCGTGTCATGGTGCAACCTGATTCCGGAACCATGAATGAGGGGGGGAAGGTTTGTGCCTTGATTTGTATAATTATGGGAGGCTGCCCATTTTTCTGCTAGGCCTTCTCCTTCAAGCATTCGAATCACATCCGACATCTTAGGCCGGTGGGGCAAAGTAGAGCAACATGGAGCATCTCACCTACCTCAATCCGGTCACAGTTGATACCCAATTCTCTATCCACCAAAACTTCAATTTTATTTGGTTTTTAAGTAAAAGGATATATATGATTTTTGTGGATAATTCATATAAATCCATTTAATTTAATGATTTTACTTTGGTCAATCATTTAAAATCAATACTATAAATGGATAATTCAAATCCATTTAATTATGGATTATAAGGATGGATAAATGGATCTCAATCCAAATTGCCACCTCTAGTTGAACATATGAGTACAATGGCAAATAATCCATATATTCATTACTCAACCAAATTTAAATAGTGCAGTCAAATAGTGGATATGATTTTAGTACAAATAATAATAAGATTTACATAGCAATAGTGATAAATTATATTTGATAACACAATATTCTCAATGCCTTCTCAAGTTAAATTTGCTTTTTACATGGAGAACTTAATGAGGTAGTAAAATATTGATTTTAAGAGGCAGAATCTGGTGTTCCTCTGTGGGTGATTTAAACGTACAAATCTTGATTC